GCCTACAAAACTGGGCAACACTACTATAGACTTGGCGTTCGTAAGAAACATTAACATCTCAGTTATGCCCTTTCTTGTCTTACTTCTCTTACCACAGACCAATGCTAAACAAAATTGTCATCGATTACTAGCTAAGACTCTGTGTATTTGTTGTGCTAAATAAAAGCCATGTATCCATTTCGTTAGTTTCATTTCATTCCCATATCCCAAAGAAAATATTACCCGCTAATGCAGACGTATTCACGTAAAACCCACGGCCATGTCCCCGACACAGCCACACCCCGAGATTTTCTAAGTCCGAAAGTGGGCGGCCATCATCTTTTACATCAGTTTTTTCACTGAAAGGCAATTAAGAAAAAGTAATTTGCTGTAAATATAATACACTTCCTTTGCTCATTGTAATTATCAGAACAAATATAGTCAGTACACAGAATTATTAACAAGGAGCAAGTACTGAAACGGACCGATAGATGGCTCTCCTGTCAGGCAGAAATGTTTGGAAACGTAACGGCAATAACAGATTGAAACTAGATGAGCGTGTCGAATGAAACCAAAAACGAATGCGACTGAAATCTGGGAATAATTGTTTCGAAAGTAAGTTCTTTTCTTTGATACCCATTCATGGAAAACTAATTTTATTTTGTCAGTTTTGAGATCAGATCCCTCATTTCCAAGTTGTTGCCCGGTTGTTATATTTCCCTCAAGCAGCACAAACTGGTACTCTGGTTTCCCTTCGATACGCTTAAATCTTTCGCCTTTTACTAAAGATTTCCGTGGAGGGGAACATTTGATGAGTCTTTAACCAATTTTTTGTTGTGCCTGGCGTAAGCTGGGCCAGTAATCGTTATCATCTGTCTTTGTGACAATAATTACGCATTTCTTTGCATTTCTCCTCTTGAGAGTGTCTTGAAGTGCTGTAACAAGATACGGCCTGTTTTATGCCGGCTATAGAAAATGTGTGAAGTAGCTGGAATCACAGACAAGTCGATGTAGCATTTGTATTCCAATATATAGCCGTCAACAAATACATGAGAGATTCTTCTGATAAGATTAAAAACTACTGATCACACATTCTGCATTTCTCATACTATACTGGGGTTAAAAAAGAGAGTGCAATGGAATCCTAAATCAGCCATTTGCATTTTCCAAACAATAATTCAGTTAGGGGCGAAGCATTCTTCTTCAACATTGTCAATAACTTCGATGCAACAATGAAACTATTTAAGCTAATTAAAATGGATTCTACAGTCAAGTTATGTATTAGTGTTGTTCATTTCCTGTTCAGAATGGTTTGAAACAAGGAGATCTTTTGTAGCCATTGCTGAATGAGGTACACCAGTTCCTGGTCAATGCTGATGACGTTAATTTTTTGGCTGAAAACGTAAATATGAATAAAAACACTGAAGCTCTAAAGTTGTCGAGAAGTGAACACAGAGAGAAATAAATAGGCCCTACGTGTTGATGTGTTGTCAGCAGACCTCAGTAAATGTCATATATAAACTTAGATACTGTGAGAAACTTTTGATATTTGGACCGACGTTAGACAATCAGTTACATTCACTAGGAAATAGATCAGAGTGATGTTGGGGAATGTTTGCTATCATGCGTTACACAATATTTTCTACTATGGCTTCTAGTCTGATATCTAAATATGAAGAATATATTACACAAATTTGTAATTCTATTTACTATATATTTATTTTCACAGTTTATACACAAACGTTTTAGTTAAAAGATGTTGTTAAAATATATAATATTAAAACATTATGTAGTATAAAATATTATATTTTAGCGCTTTTATCGTAAATACGATTTACATTTATTTAGCGCTTTTTTTATTCATTAAACGACATGTTTCGATGGATAAGACCTCATCTTCAGGTTTATATCAATCTTATCTTATCTTCACCAGCTATCAGACGTATCTTACTCCGCACAACACATCTTGAAAATAAACGTCTGACTACAAACAACTCTTCATGAAAATATAAAATCTACAAGCAAACCACAGATTAATATAATACATTGCATAAAAATATCTAATAATTTTAAAATATTATAAAATTTATATAAACCTGAAGATGAGGTCTTATCCATCGAAACATGTCGTTTAATGAATTAAAAAGCGCTAAGTAAATGTAAATCGTATTTACGATAAAAGCGCCAAAATATAATATTTTATACTACATAATGTTTTAATATTATATATTTTAACAACATCTTTTAACTAAAACGTTTATGTATAGACTGTGAAAATAAATATATATTTAATCAACATAAACATGACGCATTTAAGCTACAAATTCTATTTGCTATATTGTATGGGTATGAAGAGGAGGCTAGGGCTCGATTTTGGGCTGTTACGCCATAGTAGTAGTAGTAGTAGTATGGGTATGATACATGGTCTGTAAAGTTATGGGAAAATACATATTGAAGGTGTTTTAGAACAGAGTGCTTTGGATAATATTTGGATCGATGTTTGATGAAGTGGAGTCTGGAGAAATCTTTATAATGAATTGTTCTTCATGAATTATACTGTTCACTAAATATTATTAGGGGGATAAAATCAAGGAGGTTGGGATGGGCTGTGTATTTAGCACACATTGGAAAGTGATAAATGCGTAAAGCGTATTGGTTGGAAAGGTTGAAGGGAGAATGATATTAAAATGGATCTTAGGAAAACATGTTTTGGTGGTGTGGACTGGATTTATGTCGTTCAAGAAAGGGACCGATGTCGGGTTCCGGAAAAACACAGATAAACCTTCAAGTTACATAAAATGCATGTAATGTTTCTAAGCACAGTGTTAGCTTCTCAATAAGGACTGTACTTCAAATGAAGAATTTTGTTGATTTGGCCTATTAGAGTCTTTACTAGATGATGTCTCAACCTCTAAGCAGGAAGGAAATTTACTAAGATATTAATATTCTTAATAATAATAACAGAAGTTTCTGTTGTTATTTAATCGCGTATTCTTGTACTAAATGTAGGCTTAAGTATCGAAGTTTGTCATTCAACTTGCTAAGTATTGCTGTTAAATGAATGCATAAATATACATTTTAGCAGATCCGAAGGCGGTAATTTTTGAATATGTTTCATCGTTTGTAAGAATCAGAATTTTTGCAGAAATTAAATACTTATTGGTAAAATATATTAACCGATAAGCCTGCAGAAGTAAGTTAGCCTACATTTTGAAGGAACCAATGATAATATTGTGTACGAGACTTCTAAATAGGAGGAACACACTTCATTGTACACGTGAAGAGAGAAACCATTGTAAGTTGTCGAACATTCTTCTTGTTATTATTTGGCCATCGTGAATAAGTTTCTTCAGTATGTTCTAATCCACAAGTTATTGTGAATTTACGAATCGATGAGGTACATGGCAGGATCCCATGAACTGGAAATCGTCATATCACAACGTTTCTATTTCCACAGGTCAACACAAGAGGGAAAAACGTATACATTCAGCATGCCCTAACTAAAATTCGAACCAGTTAATTCAGGTTCTCAAACGTTGCAATTACCATCTTCATAAGACGGATTATCTCAGATGCTCGAAGGTATCTGCTGCATCGAACACCGGCTGCGAAAGCCCAGAAACAAATATTGCGTTATCCCCCGCCTCCTGTCGGCTGTCCGCGACTGTTTACTCAATATGTTAGCTGCTACCCTCCATCCGCGAGCCATGTCGTGGTGATAAAGTGGAATTTGTAATCTTCACCAAATGATAATCATCCCAAGGAGGGTGATAGGGATGGGGTATATAGCATTCAAGGGGGAAATAGAAATACATATTAAATTTTCTTTGGAAGTCTCCATGGGAAGAGTCCATTCGAAAGCCCTACGTGTAGATAGGAAGACAATATTAAAATGAATCAAAAGGTAATCAGGTAGTAGTTGCTTACAGGTTCACAGGGAAATCAACAACATTTGCTGGATGTTGTGAAATAGACCATTTTGCCATCCGACTTCATTACTGAGAACACTTGACGCCTATTTTAAAATGTATAATGCACATAGGTGCATATCCACAAACCTGTACACAAAAGACTGTTATCATGAGAGTAAATATAAATTCAGGGCGAAGGCCCTCTCCGCACAGCAAAATAGATAACGTTTTTTTTATTAAATGCATTTAAGTGTTAAATAACAGGTGTAAAGCTTGAAGGCGAATGTTACGCGACCCGGCTTACGTAATTTCATTTTGGGCCTTTCTTGTTCACAGCAGCCTATTGTTTGTTTGGACTGGCACCGTGTCTTATAGTAAAGTAAACTTTGTCCCACTATACGCCATGTAGGCGTTTGGGGGGAGAGGAGGTATAGCTCCTCTCTTCCTTGACCTCGGCACTAGATGGGGGTGAGTGGTCAGCATCACGCCCCGGCCGGCTTTACCCCCGGGAAAGGACCCCGGTACCCATTGTAGAGGAGGCTGGGTGGGCCCCAGAGCCGGGCTGGACGCAGAGGCTAGAGGAAAAATCCTCTGCCCCCGTCGGGGATCGAACCCCGGTCGTCCAGCCCGTAGCTAGTCACTATACCGACTGAGCTATCCCGGCTATATTATACTATAGACACTACTAAGTAATTTTCCTATTGTTAATCTCAGACAGAGATTATTTCACTTACACTGTATAATTAGCTAAAACAGCTAAATCTAACGAATGCTATGGTCTATAGGTTTGTAGGTCATCAACATTTTACGGTCTAGAAGTAACAGGATACTCCACCTGCTCTATCAACCAAAAATTTTGAATTTTGCCACAGAGTGTATTTATGTTTTGCGTATGATAACCGAGGAAACAGAGATTATTTTCTTAAAAAGCAATGAATATTTAAATAATATTAAGACAAACGTTGACTGATATTTTCCGTGCTTTTCCTCAGTTGTAAGGCAAATTCCGGGGTATAATTCAAACGGGACATCCCCCCCCCCCCAAAAGTCGCAGAAGCCATCATGAGAAACAAACAACGTTTGTGAAAGTCTTTACTTTGCTGTTCACAGGGCCACTTCCACCAGAGAAATGGCCCGTCGTTGTGTGGTTTCATCCTGGGAACTTCAGTGTAGGGACTACAGCTCTATGGGACGGATCGGTGTTAGCTAGCAGGCAAAAGGTAAGTGAATTCCACAACCGCTGTGGTTCCATCCAAATATGTACATAGTAACACGTCATATGACGTATCATTACCCACAGTTGGCCGAATTCTTGAGTTCCCATGCTCAAATCTCGACCACGGGACCGGATATCATGACTGAGGCTTATCATTGTTTTACTCAATTTATGAAGGCAAATGTCGGAATATTAATTTAAATTAGCATTTCCAACTATTAATTAACCGGCCATTCGACGATTTATAGTCTGAGCTACCGATAACGTCGTTAATTAAACCACACACAAATACACAAGACTGGAAATGCATACTCTTTAAGGCACACAAATGTTCCACGGCACATCACGTAGGTCGTTGTTACTCTGAAGCGATGAGGTAATAATTTCGTCCGTGGTCATTCTTGCGTGTGACCCCAGGTCATCGTTGCGTCTTATTAATTTAATTCACTTCGTTTTTAAATGGTCCTTGGATATATTTATCTGTTATTTCACCACCAGGTTATAAATAAGGTGCAATGTATTGTAACTTCTGATATTTTGTGAAATTCGGTTTTCACAGCGGCAAAATTTTTGAATTGTGGTCTTCTGAGTTATGACGCGTTTTGTCTTGCATATTGACACCGTGAAGATGGAGGCGATAAATTCCTCCGAAACATGTATAACCAGATTACACATCCTAATCTCAGAAGATCAGAATTCAGAACAGTTTTTTTTTCAAAATTCCATGACCAGGTTCACGAAGTTCTATTACGTAATAATTTTGAAATGAATTTGATTTTTTTTTATATTTTATTAACTTTCTACCGAAAAATAATTATCTGACCTTGAGGATAAATATTTTACATCGCACAAAATATGCGATGTTAAAAAAAAATGTTTTTTGTGTAAGCGGCAAAGAACACAGGCCGTGAGGTGAAGAAGTTTGACACGGACAACTAAAGAGTAAGTTAGAATTTTGGTTGGCGCTCAAATGCACCACGACAATTTTATCAACAATAAATTAATTTCACCTGACCCGTGTTTCTTAATATTACAGGTCATTGTGGTGACACCTGCATATCGTCTGAACATCTTGGGGTTCTTTGCTTTGGATCGAGGGATATCTCCGGGAAATTATGGATTGTTAGACCAGGTGGCAGCACTGAAGTGGGTGAATGACAAGATCAGTGAATTTGGAGGTTCACAAGATGACATCTGCATTATGGGGCATGGTGCTGGAGCCACAAGCGTTGGTCTGCACATGGTATCACCATTATCAAAAGGGAAATTTAACCGAGCTATTGCCATGAGTGGCAGTGTGTTCAGTAACTTAGTAGGAAATATCCCTGACATTCAGGCCTACAAGGATATCCAGTCTTATGCCTGTGTAGACAGTAAGAGCAATAAGGACCTTATAGATTGCATAAGAAATCTTGAAGTCTTGCCCTTGGTTAAATATTCATGGAATCGATACCCATGGGGACCTGTAATTGATGCTGGTGATACATTCTTACCCAGGAGGCCAGAGGAATATTTTGAAATACAAAAATATCGCAAGGTTTGTTCAATTATTTTGATAAGTCATTTTGAAAAGGACCTTACTTAAAAAGGCTAAGTTTTCAGGAATTAAGAAAATAGTTGTTACTCCATTTATCAAGCATAAAAGAACATTGTAAGCCACAGAAAAATTGGCTAGGGTTATAGTAACATTTTGAATCCAAGTCTGTTTCTAAAGAAAATTCTGAAATAAACCCTTTCTTTATAAAGACACCTACTATGTAAATGTTTTAAAGAAAAAATGTTATTGTTTTACCATTTCACAATCTATGCATAATTAAACTTTAATTACTCACAAACACAGCTCTAACATTAAAATGTTTATCATATAAGTCGTATTTGAAATGAGTTTTAAGGGACGCACTTTAATATTGATTGTTAAGTTAACACTGTCTACACAACAATTTTTGATTAGAATCTCAAAGTTTATTAAGATCCACTACACGTTTCAACCTCATCTGATCATAACAAAACTAACAGATATGAGTGCTAAATTGTATACATATTTGAAACAGATAATATTTACATGGATCTGCGTATATTTATTGTCTCTAAACACATATGTTGAAATGGGAAAAGATTATTATTTATATGCATATTTCATGAGATGTTGGTTAAAATATTAGAATGTTCAAGGTTTCTGTGAGTTAACCTTGAAGTGGAAGGAAGCTTTATTGATGAACGTTTGAAACAGTTGTTAATGGTTATTGTAATATTGTGAATTACAAACATTATTGTCTCTGTCTCCTAACGTCAGTTAACTATCATTTACTTACTATTATATATCATATATTGTATAATATTTCTGCATTTAAACTACAAACCAATAATATAAAGAATATCTGTTTATTTGAAACAAACTCTATAATTTATGTTTTAGTTGTAATCATTATCCGTGTTACTTACAGGCCAAATTGATATTTAATTATAATTATTTATTATGTTGATCTGGAATGCACACCACACAACAGATGCCTCTCACGTTTAGAGACTTACTAGACAATGGTTCTGAATAATCCTTCTGAAACTTGACAACAAAAGGTGTTGCTAGCACTGAAAGACCAGAAGTATGTTTTCAGGGTCCTCCAGTACTGATGCAACAACATTTGGATTTGACACAATGATTTAAGAACTAATGTAGAAACGTGGCTGGAACGTAACTTTGCTCACACATCCAATAGAACTTATCAGCATCACTTAACCTTAAAATAAACTTATTTCAGAAATAAAGACGCTGGATAAGTGATGTTTGATAGCGAACATTCAGTAGTCCTGTTTAAATATGAGGAATGATGCAGAAATTTGTATCTATCTGTGCTGTATAAAATTTTACGAAAAATTAAATAAGGAACTTTTCAAAATGACTGTTTTAGTTCTAACATATTTCACTTATTAAATATAAGCACTGATTTTAATAAAGGGTTTATTTTTATAGTCTTATTGAAGTAAAATCCATAATAGTTTGTGCACAAAGGTACAATACGGGATTGCCTTATCAGTATAATTGCTACAAATAATGCACAAGATTATGATCAAAATGTAGTTTAAATGAATGAAGTAAATCAAAATATGAAAGCATATACGTCAGATAAGCAAGTAAACAAATGTTAAAATGTGTTTTAGAATGTGTCATAGGAAAGAAGCAAGCTTATATTAATTTATTTGGCTAAAATAAAAATATCACGAAGAAGAACACAGAGGTTCTTTTAGACGATTATGTAAAGGTAGCCAATAAATCCTTAAAAATATGACAGAGTTAAAATATTTTGGAATGATGTTCACAAATTAGAATTTATAAGATTTGAGGTTTTCACAGCGGTGAGTATGAAGATTTCTGTCTTCTGGGTTGTAGCGCTGTGTAGGTTGTTGCGCTGTGTAGTCTGGTCGATGTTTACCGACGTTTCAGAGGTCATACTGCCTCCTTCATCAGGGCGATGAGTATGAAGATTTCTGTCTTCTGGGTTGTTGCGCTGTGTAGTCTGGTAGATGTTTACCAACGTTTCAGAGGTCATACTGCCTCCGTCATCAGGGCGATGATTATCAAGATTTCTGTCTTCTGGGTTGTTGCGCTGTGTAGTCTGGTAGATGTTTACCAACGTTTCAGAGGTCATACTGCCTCTGTCATCAGGGTGATTCATCACCTCTGAAACGTTGGTAAACATCGACCAAACTACACAACGCAACAACCCAGAAGACGGAAATCTTCAAATTAGAATTTAATTCACAAGGAAATTAAGAGGAAACTAAATTCAGGAATGCAAAAAGGACTGTTTTATTTTAAAGTACTTTAAGGTGGAAAACACGTGTTAGATTGTGCTGCACTCAACTAACTAAGGAATTCATAATTACTCCTCTTCATAAAAGGGGGACAAGACTGAGTGTAGTAATTATTGAGGATTTTCTCTACTGTCAACCTCATACAAAATTCTATCAAACATTCTTCTAGCGAGATTAACTCTATATGTGAATGAAATTATTGGGAATCATCAGTGTGGGTTCAGACATAGATCAACAATTTATAAGATTTTATGTATTTGTCAGATACTACAGAAACAAATGGGAGTACATAAGTTGTTTATAGATTTCAAAAATTCTACGAATCTGTTAATAGAGGAGTTTTATACAATATTGTCATTGAATTTGGTACACCAAAGAATCCAGTGAGCCTAATAAAAATGCGCTTACAAGAAACCTGGAACAAAATTCATACAGATAAATATTTATGGGACTCATTTTCCATCAAGAACGATCTGAAACAAGGAGATGCTTTGTCTCCCTTGCTCTTTAACTTTGCGCTGGAATACGTCATCATGAAAGTCCAAGATATACAGGAGAGTTTTCAATTGAATGGGACGCATCAGCTGTTAGCATATGCTGATGATGTTAACTTATTGGGTGACGAAAATACATAACCACATTTGTTTAACGAAAACATTAATATATTTATTTTCTTTTGTACTTACAGGTCGACTTCCTGACAGGATATACAGATATGGAAGATGCATTTGAAATTCATGCAAAAATTCCTAACTCAGAAAAAGGAGTGTCTTACAATGTTTTTAAGGAACTCATTCGAACTGAAATACAGAGTGAACACGAAGGTGAATATTTTGGAGAGACTGGTGATTATAATCAGACATGCGCCGTCAACGTAGATCACTTACTGGACACAATTCTTTTCTATTACACTCCTTATCCATCATCACTAGAACCTGAAGTTAATCTTCTGAAGTACGTGGACTATACTACAGAGAAAAGATATGGTACTGGAATCCACAAGCAAGCACGATTTATCAGCAAATCTAGCGTCACGTATGTATATCGTTTTGATTACAAACCCAAAAAAGGACTTGTTGCTGATTTGCCTGAGTGGATACGTGTTCCTCATGGCTTTGAGTTGCCATTTTTTTGGGGGATGCCCTACTGGCCATCTCTGCCTCCAAATTCGTGGAACATTGCAGACCGCAAGGTTGCCGACACTGTCATGACCTTATGGACGAACTTTGTAAAATATGGCAACCCAGTTCAAACAGGCATTAACTTCAAATGGGATGTATTTGAAGAAAGTGCACCTAGTGTCATGATTATTGATCGTAGTTTCAATATGAGTGATCCTTCAATATTTGATCATAAGGCATTTGCCTTCTGGGTGGATTATTACCCAAAAGTTATTGATGCTACACAATGTTGCAATATGACTCAAAATGCTATTAGAATTTATAGCAACCCAACATTGACTGGGATGTTGGCAACCCTTGCTGGCATGCAGTATCTTTTAATAAGCTAATATTAACATGATAATTAATCTATTGAAGAAATTATTCAAATAATACGCAGAAGTATATGACCCTGATGGCAACAAGGTACTAAATCAGTGGTACATGATGGTAGAATTATTAAAGGAAGCTAATAACAATTTGGTCTACAAAACATTCAGTTACAAGTAGCTCTCGATTTGCGTCGATTCAGAATAACGCCGATTTTGAAACCAGAAAGTCAAAGAGTGAAAAACAAAATTTACTATTATTTATAAAGTTTTACAATGTTTCTCGTACTGCTTCTTATAGTAAACCGTAATTCTTACATCGCTGATTTTTAACAAAAATTATAATTACAGTCATCTCTGCAATTACGTATGTTTCGTTAACGCGAATTTGCTCCAATGAGATCGATGAATAATGTAGTGCCATTATTTTACCCGTCAATGTTTGGGTGCTGGGAACACATGCCACTAACTTCCCATTGATTTACATTATAAAATCGTTCCAATTTACGCGATTCCGATTACGCCGTTTCGTCCAGGAACACATCCCCGGCGTAAATCGAGGGCTACCTGTATTTGACTTTTTTAAGTATTGAGAACATCTTTCAATAAGGGTAATATTTTAAAGACTATAAAGAAATTTGTTAAGCTTTAATTGATATTAATAGTAATATGAGTTAGAATTTGACGATTAATGATTATGTTCTGGGCTTTGGTTCTGTGCCAACGTTTCAGCGAAACATTTTCATCTACTGGTAAGTCTAAGTGGTGCCAAAACCCAGAAGAATATCATCATCCCCAAGTCTGCGAAAACCTTCAGTCCTACAAATTGACTATTAATCTCACTTTGTAAAATACTCAAAATAATAACTTGAAACACAGAATATTTAAAATACATTTAATTGTAAAACTTGCAATTTTATAACACAAGCCAAGTCAAAATATCAGTCATAAAATTTTCCAGTATTCATGATATTAAGATACTAGTATAATACATCTACAATTAAAAATTTTATTAGAAAAAAAATATTAAATAGACATTTACATAACAATTATAAGAGACAAGGCTTCAGCATTGTACTTTCTCAAGAAGGGTTTCCACAGAGCTTTGAGAAATGAAATTATGGCATAAGTGAGAAGAATTTTAGGGTACTGTTAGTATTATAAATGATTTAATGAGAGATGGTAACTCAATTCAAGAATATAGGCAGTGTAATAAAGCAACAGTTAAATCATGATTGACAGTTGAAGCATGTAAAATACGTAGTGAAAGAAATTTTAAGAATTTGTTTTATAACAGTCCTCTTGTAAAATCGTTTGAAATGACTAAATTTGTAAGTGCTTTTGGTAGAGTGATGGGTTCAAACATAAGTTTAGAAGCCATTAATGTATTTAAATATTATGAATAATATAAAATTGTTAAATTGACTATCGTTTAGTTCATTATCAGGTCAAAGGAATCACAATTATATAAGATTCAAGCCTGGATCACCCAGTATTGTGTTTAAGCCATCTTGAATTGACACTGAATCTTCTACACTACATATACATTCTTATTCTTAAAGTAGTCTTCATTGGACAAAGTTTTTCAGTGTTAGACAATGGTAATGTTTAGTATTCCTACTTCAAATTCCAAAGTTCCTGAATACAAATCTCATCCCAGAAATTTGACTAAACCTACTGAGTGTGTTCACGGTTCTTCTCAGTCCTTCCAGTAAAATGCTCAGATTGTGTCTAAAAATTCGCCACAACAGTTTAATTTTTCATGAGTAAGTTACATTAAACTTTTCATTACATTTTGCGTAGTTTTCATAGTTTTTATCTGTGATTCACGTTTCTGGCGACCTTGGTACTGGAAATTCTTCACAGTGTATAACAAGCCTTGTGGCTGATGGTAAGTTTAGATATTTTACAGTTGTTTCAGGCTTTGCATCAATGCGTAATGTATTAAGCAGAAACAATAATCCTAAAAAAATTCTCTCGGCTCCCTCCGTACAATCGCATTGGACAAGAGTTTACCGACGTTTCAGAGGTCCTTGCTGCCTCCATCATCGATAAACTTCTACCAGACTACGCGGAGCAACAACCCAGAAGACATCCATCTTCAGACTCACCGCCGCGAAAACCTCATATCCTACATTTGACAAAACCTATTCATGGGATGCCTCAGCCTTACACCAGCCGATTAAAATGACCACGTGGGCCGTGGCTTTTCGAACACTGGGTTCGTGGGTTCAAATCCACCTCAAGAGACAGATGCAATAGTGTCCTCTGTACAGGTCGCGACGGGCTGTCCTCCCATCCTGCTCTACGTCGAAAAAAAGAGTTGAAAATGTGGCTAAAAACATGTCCAATAAAGCATACGCAGAGAATGGTCTATAACAACGAGTGCTCGGATAAAATTACACTTCACAGCTAAATTGCCGCACACATAACAGAATTTTTTTTAGATAGTTCACCCACAAATAATCACTCTCTAGGTCGAGATTTGAGCCTGAGACCTCCCGAATGTGAAATAACCTAAATAGATACTTAATTAGATACTTGGAAGACCCATTCACCAGCGTAGGCAATTGCCCTTGCGCGGGCCCCAGTCTCGCTTCAATTTATCTCTGTAATAACCTAAATGCCACATAAAAACTGCTGGTGAAAGTAATATTTTATTTTAATTTTCGTAATAGTGTAGAAATACGTGTAGATAACATAAAACATTTATGTGACAAAAATTATATTGAACAGTGTATGTTGACCTCTTCATATGAGAAATCGTCGTTAAAAATCAGACGCTGTGAAGTTTGGAGGTATGTCTACAGTGCTGAGCCTCTTGGGAATTATGGGAATATTCTGACGTGAGATCTCATTGGTAACACCAAGATCTTGCAGGTAGGTATAATGGGAAAGGTGCAATTTATATTTCGTTTGTGAGTTTCTCTAAAAGACCAATTATATAATTATTGATAAATGTGGCGAAACAGCACATTGGAAACAGGAATAATTTCTGTTGTTTGTTCAGAAGTTTGCAATTCTTAATACCATTGTGCTATCTTTACAGAACAAAGATCTGTAATTTTTCACACGGGACAGAATTCTGTACACAGAACATGATCTAGCACCAAATAATACGTGGCAACGAGGTGTATGAATCATCGACTTTACCCATGCGTAAACATGTTATCAATATATTTCAAAAGCCCGTGACGATTTACATAAATTCCAAGAGTTATGTCCGTCTAATCTTCAAAGTTCTTGGTCTTCCGTAAACGTATATTAAACATTTTTATAATTACCTCATATCTAAACATTATTCATTTTACCGGTAATACCATGGCTATGCATGTCGTGATGATTAGGAATATAAAGAAAGTATGTGTTCAAGTAAACAAAAGAGATAAAATGGTTTTTACAATGCATCAAAGTCAAAATAATAATATTTTTTTTTTGCAAGAATACAAATACATAGAACCGTCACAGTTTTTGCGTGATAAAAGTTACGTCACCATAACGCACTCAATTTTTAAGATCTTAAAATATAAGAAATTCAAAATTGGAAGAATTTTCTTTCCATATAAGCGTGTGTGCCATCTTGGTAATTTTCTGACGGAATGAAATGTTTGGCTAAATGAATAAACTTATAATTATGTCATGAGGTCGAAGTTAGATTTTGATTAACCATCAATGATCGAAGTTTGAATCTACTGCTTGGTATTGGATTTGTCGACATCCGGGTGGTTTTTTTGGCGAGGTCCACCAGACAAATATTCTGGAATATCAACCGCTGTTAGTAAGACTTTTTATTTTACACTATCAGCTGGTTATAAGAAGCTAAACTTCGTTTAACTCTGTACTTTGACGGAACTTTTTCAATATTTCGTCCCGCGGAGGTCAAACCAATATTAATTAAATTTATACAAGGGTATGAAGTGGTATTGCTTCACACCGCGGACTAACTTCAAGGGCCAAACTCGTGTACTGAAATCGGCCAATCAGAGAAAAGTAATTTCAGTCTTATGGATGATATTGCTTTCATCATTAGGGCTATGTCTAGTGTATGCTTACTCTTTCAGAATTTATGTATAAATATAATCAGTGTACCTTGATTTAAAGCTAATATTTAAATATATTTTGAAAGCGTTTCCAGTTAAATGACGCCATCTAACACAAATTTAATCAGATTTCCAGGCTCATCTTAAGTGCGTATTTGCAAACAATGTAACAGTGTTTTTGTTGAAGAGTTATTGCGGCGAGATATATCTATATTATTTATTATTTATTTATTTAGTGTTCTATCTGACGACAGGTCCATATGAACAGGATCCTTCCATCCTTTTCTCGGACTGAGACCTGTTCATATACGTTCTTGGCAGATGATCCAGAAGTGGTTTGCCATTGCCTTCTTCTGTGTGTGAATGGAGTAATTGTTGGGATGCCACGGAGGAAAACCCCGGGTTGCCTAGACCACGGCCTTGCCCAACACAAGTGATAAATTCGGGCACCGCCGGGAATCGCTCTACTTTGGAGTAGTGGTGGGGTTTGTGTGGTCTTATGATCCTGACAGCTATGCCGACGTTAGCGTAGCTACTGGTAGGGTCTCCCATGCCGAAGATGTCAAAGGTGATGACCCAGACGATATTGCTTTAGTGGGGAGAACCGTAGGAGTTCTGAAAGAAGTAATTATAAACCTCAGTAGAGCAGCGAATGAAATGGAACTTAAAATTAATTTGAAAAAAAACTAAACGCATAAAATTAACAGAAAGGCCAACAAATTCAAGAAAGCTTTAAGTGGATGATGACCAGGAATTTGGAAGGGTGAGAGAATTCAAATATTTTTGGATTTATTCTAACAAAATAATAAAATTTGCTACTAAAATAAAACAGGGACTTGTAATGGCAAATCGAGCTAGTTATGACCTGAAGAAACAATAAAGCTCACAACATTTTGGGAGACAAGCAAAATGCACTCTACATACGACACTTTTAAGGATTATACTAACCTATAGAATTTAAAGTTGGCCCCTCACAGGGAAAGATGTAAATATACTCCGAACCTTTGAAAGGAGAATATTAAGAAGAATTTATGGTCCAATTAAGGAAAATGGTATATGGAGATTAAGGTACAATCATGAACTTTATTAATCCTACAGTGGACCAGATATAGTGAAAGTGGCTGGAACACCTTTTTAGAATGCAGGAAGTTAACTCTACATAAACCGGACGGCACTCGATGAGCAGGCAGACTTATTATCAGGTGGCTGGATTCAGTTGAAGAAGATCTGAAGACAATGGGCGTTGGAAATTGGAGATGAAAAGTCACAGGATCGGGACCAATGGAGGGCAATCGTAAAAGAGGCCAAGGTTCATCATGGAGGTTAGCGCCAGTAGAAGAAGAAGAAGAAGAAGAAGAAGAAGGAGGAGGAGGAGGAGGAAAAGAAGAAAAAGAAAAGGAAAGTGACAAACTTGTACATTATTCATTCTTTGCACAAAGTGCATACAGAGAAGATATTATGGGCTGGTCGTGTCTGTCCGCCCTTCCGTCTGGCCAATCGATTCAACTCGAGAACCACTGGACGGATTTGGATAAAATTTAATGTGGAAGTTGTGCTATTATGCACGACCTTAAAGTCGTATTTTTGAATATCTTACGAACGATGGTAAAGAAATGACGGCTGGAGAAAATAGTGAGGTGGGCAAAGAGGCGCTGCGATCTGTTGGCCAAGGTGGGAAGTGTCGAACATGGCGGATTTAATACTTAATATACACGTTGAATAGAACGCATTAGATTTACTGTGATGCGCCATTTTGTGGTGTGCCGTCGTTGACAAATCACGACGTGCCGTGGGTGAAAAAATGTTGCGGAACATCGCTCCAACTCTCTATTCTCTTTTGCTTGCATATGACCATAACAAACCTAATCAGACACGATTGTCTCCGAACTCTCCGCAAATCGTAACCGGTAATTCAAACTATGACGGATTCTAAATACCTCCACAGAACAAGCAAAGATAAGTTAAATTAAAATTCCTTCATACCTTCTCACACCTGAGCGACCGCCGAGGTAAAAACAAATACAGAGTTATGCAACTGTAGTCGACCGAAAAATCGATTATGATCGATTTTAACTGCCAACCACCGCTTGTAGCGAAGGTGAGGCTGTGAGCGGTAGCTAAACCCAGTTCTTTGTTATAGATATTGGCAAAAACTAGGTGTCTAATCGAAGTTAAAATTCTAGGAAACTGATTGCGATTTTATAAGCTATTAAAATAGAATTTGACATCCAAAAGTTAACGAAAGCACTTAAAGTGTATACGGCCAATGTAGGAAGTATGGCCGAGTAGCTATCATACTCAGAATTTACGGCTTGATTACATAAATTATGGCCATTAAGTTACAAACATGAGCCATGTTGTATTTGGTGAGATAAACTGCATGGCAAGGCGTGTTATCAGACGTCACGCAAGTGATAGAACAACTGGGAATAACCCAGAAGACAACCATCTTGAGACTCACCACCGCGTAAACCTCAAACCCTACTGATATTATACAGAGTGAGTCAGAAGTATGTTTACAAACTTCTGTGTGCGTGTTCCTGGATCAAAAACAAGAAAAAATGTTCTTATGAACATGGGGTCCCAAATGTTTCATTTTCGAAATAATAGCTAAAATTAATTTTCATTGTATGTCTTTATTGCCAAGTATAAGGACAGGGATGTTTCTTTATAACAGATGCTGAAAGATTGTTCCTTCATTCTCCACACATGCTCGAGCACGACGTAGACAAGACAGACGAATTCGTTCGTACACTCCAGGGTTTCCTCGAATCATCTGTCATGCATTCTGCACACGTTCCCATAGGTCGTCGTCATTGTTTGTGGGTGTTGCATAAACGACGGACTTCAAGTGACCCCCACAGATAAAAGTCCAATGGAGTCAGGTCCGGTGACCTCGGTGGGCATTCTACTGGGCCACCACGCCCAATCCATCGCTGAGGTTACTGTTTCTTGAGATATCTGACGCGCCGGGAGAAGTTTGCTGGGGGCTCTGTCGTGCATAAACCACATTTGTCTTCTTGTATTCAGTGGTACGTCTTCAAGGAGACGTGGCAAGTGTCTTCTTAAGAACCACCAATATGAAGGTCCTCTTAGACGCGATCGAAGCATGTGTAAACCAATAAGCATGTCGCCAACAATTCCTGCCCAAACGTTAATCGAAATTTTTTGCTGGAAGCTGGATTCATTTTGATATAAAGTCAAATTCATTGAAACTTATTTTTGGCTATTATTTTGAAAATGAAACATTTGCGACCCCATGTTCATAGGAAAATTTCCCCTTATTTTTGATTCTGGAACACGCACACGAAGTTTTTAAACATACTTTTGAATTACTCTGTATAATGTTCCGTGCTCTGTCTCAAAAAAAAAAAAAAAAAAAAAGAGTATATACAAAGAAAACCGAACCTGATGTATACTTATGTAGTAGGTGGTGATAATTTTCACAGGCAATTCTTTAAAAAATCAGTCTTTGATCACAATAATTTCAATTGAAGACTACTAGCGTTGGGAATGAAACCAAGGCGGACATCAGCAAGGAGAACAATGACCCGCACTCATCTTAACGTCGTACCCTTTGACGACGACCATCGTATCATTTCTCTTCTCTTGCCATTGGTTTCCAAACTTTTTGACAATGTTTATAAATCTGGTGCAACCGCGTTTGAATTTAATCCCGCCACTAAATTTTGGAAAAAGTAATAGATAGTTCCTGAGCTCTTATCTTTATAAAATCACTACACATTCAGAAAAATGTGCCCTTGTTTCATTGAAGAATCCTACTGTCGAATTACCGGTGGCGTAATTGAGGTAATATTCATTCAGCTAATTTGACTCTAGTCTACTTATTATTCCCTGCTGACAGTACCGTTACAGAAAATTTATGAAATTTCCTTCTTAATTAACGGACCAAATAAAACAAATAACCTGCCCTTACCTCACGTGACACATAACAAGCCGTTCACAACAGATCGCTAGTTGCTGCACTGGCCAATAAATATTGCCATCACTGTGTGTATTTTGATTTAAACACTTTATTTAAAACTCTATCTAAACATGTTAATGCACGAAATCAGTAAATCTAGACCATTAAAGACATCAGACTGTCAGGTAAAAAACGAATATAATTTACTGAAATTTTATTGTAAATTCTTCAAATGCTGTATCAGTTTACAAACAGCTTAGGTTCTCAAAACACATTGGAGGGCCGGAGATTGTCAGTTACTATACTAAATGTTTCTGTTATGTGCGCTGTATATTACGTAAGAAGCAGTACGTTTTAAGGAGCATGCCTTGTACATACGCACAACGAAATATATACATATGCAATCCATTGTCTTCGTCGAGTCTGCAGAAGAAGTGTGGGACACGGAGGAGAGTTATCATCCCATGTACAAATAAAGGCAATTGTTTTCTGTATTGGAGACCATGGGAACTTAACCGGTGCAGAATCCCATAACATTGAACTTCTCTGCCATACGTCTGCAGTGTAGGAGTGACTGCCAGATTTAATTACTTCCCCACTCTTCAGTAGCCTCCAAACAACTTGTGTATGTTTGCATAATTACTGGGGTCGCAAGATTGACCTATAATTCCGCGCTTTAATCTATAGGATATCATGTCTAAGTAATATCCTGTGTTGATGACAATTCTTCTAATGATCGTCGTGATATTGAATTGTTATCTAAAGTTTAATCTGCATGCGTTGTTACGAAATGATAAAAGTAATTAGTCATTGTCTTTCCAAAGTTCATGAAATAAGCTTCTTTCCAAGAACTTATGCCACGTACACGATCTGATAGTTTAATCGTTTGATTGAGTGTAAGAAGATAACTGCACGCGTTGTAGTGTAATCTCATGACTTACGTGAGTCCCTGTGTTTTTCGAAAGGACCTGATGTGGTACGTTTCATAAATGAGGCATAAATAAGTTTGAGAGCACTGGCCTACTATCATTTGAAGGGACTAGTAGCTAGCACATAGCCACGGTGGTCTAGCGGTTAGAACGCTGGCCTTGTAATCCTGGGGTCTCGGGTTCGATTCCCGGCGGTGCCCGAAATTATAACTTGTGTTGGGCAAGGCCGTGGTCTAGGCAACACGGAGTTTTCCTCCGGGGGCTTCCCCGGTTTCTCCGTGGCATCCCAACAATTACTCCATTTACACACAGAAGAAAGCAATGGCAAACCACTTCTGGATCATCTGCCAAGAACGTATATAAACAGGTCCCAGTCCGAGAAAAGGATGGAAGGATCCTGTTCATATGGACCTGTCGTCACACAGAACACTAAATAATATGCAAATAAAGTAGCCTCAAGCAAACTGATTGCTTAAATGTTACAGGAATGTGGGGTTTAATTGCGTAAATTAGATTCTAACAGCTCAGAATAGGGACCTTACTTTGATGTCCGTGCGCGTACTCCACTTGTGTTGTTGGTGATATCTGGCATATGTTTGCGATTTGTGAGAGCTGGGTGGCGCACGATCTTGGCCCATTTCTCATTTTCAGAATTTTTAACATTTTGTAACTTCTAACTAACGCTTAAAGGAAGTAGACATAACATGAATGTATGGAGATTAACCTAGCTGTGGAGTGTTGTGTGTGAATCCCGTTAAGCGACCCTGAAGATAACCCCCTGAACAGTTGGAAAAACTGAGTAGAGAAGGTGGATCGGTTATACTTGGTTACCTGAGAGTTCTGTTATTGTCCATAGCATTAACAGAAGTTGTTGAATTGTTTTCATAAAAAAAATTGTATAGAAGTAGTTTCTTTTCTGCCCGTTAGAGGTACAAGTAAGTGATAATTTTTAACTTTACATGCCATTAAAATATGTTTAAGGAGTGCTATAAGAAAATATCGATTGAATGCGTTGTGTCTATATAAAAATATATGAACATCTCACCTAGATAAATCAATATTTTGTGGTTAGATTGCTCGCCACTGGACCCAATGTTCGCGGGTTCAATCCCGACCGAGGTCGATGGATTTTTAAGGGTGATAAAAATCCGTAGCACAATTTCCTTCGGAGGGGAAGTAAAGCTGATGGTCCCATGTAAAAGAACGTTGATACGAGATGTTTCGTAAGCAAAATTCAGCGGCCATATCTCTACCCAAGTCTCTCCTGATTCATTGCTTCACTGCTAGATGGCTCTGGCAGTCAAATCAGGAGTGAGTAGAATTTGTGCAGAGGCAGTGGGCTTGTCACTCATTATTAAAAAATGCACGCTTTAAAGACTATGAAACCTCCGAAAGGAGGCCCTGTGCTCCACTTAGGAGTTACAGGAACTATCTATTTACTCTATCTAAATAAAACATTACTAAAATTAAGATAACGTCCATACTTTCATCTAAAATATATGCATATTATTAATAACATGGCTGTTCTTACGCTAGTGCGGCCGCCAGTGTAGTGTATAAAGCAGGTCACTCTGCTATGGACTTCAGTTGTGGCGTAGGTGATCAGTACTGCAGATCATGGCTTGCATGTCGTCGAGACTGGAATGCTTTGCACCAGCGAGGTAAGGGTTCGAGACTCGCTTATATGAAAATATATACGAATACTTCTTTTAACAATTTCTGATTAGTTGGAAGATTATCTTGGAAGTAGTGAATTGTAAAGAGGGAACATAATTAATTGTCATTATTAGTAGGATCTTTAAAGTAAACATTATGTAAAAATAAGCTCATTAATAGTACGACGTTTTCGTCGGATACGGGAAACAAGAAAATTACGATTGGATTTGTAAAAGTAAATTTATCCGTGGTGGTTACGAAGCACGCCATGCAGACGTATTGGGTATTATCCTCCAATGAAAAACACTGAAACCAATTAAAAGCGAGATTGGATGAGCTGGAGACATGTAGTGGAAAATAGAATAATTCTGCTTTGTTGGGAATAAAATCTCGTCCGTACACGTCATATCCTGTCACTGTACTGATTGAGCGAGTGTGTTATTATGCAATAGAACGTTATTCTCTGAAAAATAATTTATTAACTAGACAATGGCATGCAAATTCGAGGTCATGTTTTTAAAATAAACAGGTCGTCCTACGCTACGTGTAACATCTCACACGTAATGAATGATTATTTGGTTATTTTAAGACGTTTCTTCATCTGTACAGATTTTGTAGCATTAAATGGTAAGTTGATTGCGAATTATGCATAAATATGTGAAATAAAGTGACTGTGGAACATTTAAGATATACCAGTAGTTTCTTGGAGAACTGAGAAATATCACGAAGAATCTAAGGATAACAGTTATCCGGCCCGAGATTCGAACCAAGAACTTTGAAATACGAAATAAGAATGCTAACTACTTTTCTTACCATGAAGCCGTAACTTGTTTTTAAGGACTCATATACAAAGTCTGATAGAAAGTTATTTCTTACGAACGAAATTTATTGTTGTTTTTCTGAAATACATAGAAGGTACTGCCCTGGTGCGCTTAACGTTAGTCATTTGTTTGTCTTCCATCTTGATCGTCGTAAAGAAAATCGAGGTAATCGACTTCAACAATTAATCGAGATATGTGCTAGAAACCATAGGCTTGTGGTAATGTTGTGTTTTTATACCACAAAACAAAATTTTGTAGGAAAAGAAAACTATATTCGCTGTTAAAGTTCTGAATTTTTTTTATATTTTCAATTAAATTATTTGGTTATTCCGTCAAATCACAATGTATTTTAAAATAAGATAATTAAAATATCATTCTGTGTTCCATATCGAATAATCGATTTACAATTGGAACAGTTACAACATGTTTCGGTTTTATTAAACCATCATCAGGTGTAAAATTATATTAAATTTAAAACTCAATTACAATTTTTTTACAATTTTTCGTAGTGTAGTTTTTTGGAGGTCGTGTCCAGATATTTTCATATAATGGATCAACTTTATTGTTTGAAGTGATACTTTTGATGTTTACATCGGTCTGTGAAGTAAATGATTCAAAGAAACATTAATGAATATAGAAAACAATTAAATAAATAAATAAAATAATATTATAAGGAAAGTAAAATAAACATACAAGAGATGAAATAGTAGACAACACAGTGTCGATTATTCGATATGGAACACAGAATGATATTTTAATTATTTTAATTATCTTATTTTAAAATACATTGTGATTTGACGGAATAACCAAATAATTTAATTTTAATTTAATAAATCACAATATGACGCAACTACACTATTTTATATTTTCATTAGATTTTTATCTCGAAACTACAGTGTTTTGGAAGCTGTCCTTGCCTCAGCTACCTATCAATTTGGATAATTTTAATTCCCAGCCAACAACATTGGTTCTAGTCGACGCGTATAAACTTATTCGGGCAACTGAGATTAGCTTCATCCAATGGACTCAACCAGATAAGTAGCTTCCCTGATATCGTAAGCAGAGCCAACTTTCGAAACTTTATACGGTTCCTACAATAAGACCACGGCAAATGTCCAAGAATATGAATCAGCTTAAAGACACACTTTTATAAAAAACATTTACTCTAGTGGTTCTCAATATTCTGGAGCTCGCAGCACAATTAGAATATTAGGATATTAATTTTTTTAATATTTGTGGCAGACTGTCAACAAACGGAATCCGTACAAATTCATTTTCTGCATGGAGTGGGGTGATATTCATTCATATCCATTGTTTTAACATCGCTACCAACAATAACTGTTGCTACATGGTAGAACTGTAACTAATTTCTGCTTTCATGATTAAAATATAAGTTTTGCTTTAACTAAGTACTAAACGTTTCAAATTACGGATAACAATGTGATATTAACATTTTTTATTTTTAATTTGCATATTTAATTGTATATAATCAATCTTCTATTCAAAACCGCGGCTTATTTGACAAAAGATCACAGCACAACGTTTAATAATCACTGTTTTAGCCTAATGTTATATTCAGTATTTTTAATGTTTCTGCTAAGAAATTTAGTTATTAAAAAAATTGCGCTTATCTGCTGTCATTTGATGAAGTATGATTCCCTACTGTTCGTAAGCCATACGTAAGACTCATGGTTGAAGTATTGGTTGTATTTCAGTCCATCTAATGTCACTAATCCTTAATAGGTTTGTGACATTTAACGAGAACAGACCTAAGTTACTTCCAGACCTGCACAATATACAAATTGCCCACAAAAGATGTAAACAGAATCAACTTTAATGGCTGCTTGTCAGTTATTTTCTCACCGCTGTCAACTGTCCCACGAAGCTAACAGTGGTCACTTTCAACACTTAAAATATATTTGTTAATTCATTAATTCAATTCAATTCAATTAAATTAATTTATTTACGTGTTTGCCAACAGCAAGAAGCCAATAACAGGCAAGCACTGATAATACATACAATAGTAATGAAATAATAATGAAAAATAGTACACAAACAGATTAACTAAACTTATACATGTACAGTATTAAATATAACTGCCAAGTACAGGCAAACCCAAAATAGAAACAATATTAACACAAAGCAAAATAAATGAAGAAATATAAATAAAAGCAAATAATCCACCTAGGGAACACTAATATAATTGTAAAACGTTAAACAAATATAAAAAACAGATAACGAAGCTAGATCATCTATGAGACACCTATCTAGATCATTTCCCTTATTGAGAACGTGTCCTCAAGGGAGACAAAGTTTATGCTAAATACGTCCAAAGATTTACATACGTCATTTGCAGCGATGACGCACCTGGCTGAAGGACTATGCCTTAGTGCACTGCTCACATTAAAAGTAGACAATTCTCTTATTTGCCTCGCTGGCACACGTTAACCAACAGTGTCCATAATGGAATGGCAAATTATTTTGCCCTTAAATACATTAATAAGTGCCAGTGTTAACATAAGTAATGATTTGTTTTATTAAAATGTATTTACTTCATTAATTGAATATCTTTTGGGATATTCTGTTTGTGTTGAAGGCGAAAAAGACCACGACATGCCTTCTACAGTGACTCACCACAACACATACAACTTAGAGGAAATACACCAGGACTTATGAGGCTATGCTAAACACATTTTTAATAATGATTTTGGCATTTTATCTTTTTCCCGATTTAACTAAATTAAAAGGATTATATATCTATGTTTATCATTATTTCTGGACGTAGATCCTTAGTGTAATGACGTAGAAGCAGGGAATTTGACATGATAATGGCCACATTGGTTCGATACGTGTTGTTCAAGCGAGCAGACAGAACACTTTGTGTGTGAATAGTAAAACCAAGTATCCATATAGAACACCGAGATGCTACACTACAAACCTGTTTTTGAGATAAGAGTTTCTGTCCATGAGTATAACAGAATTCAGCATCTTACACCCGCCAAAAGCCCAACTAATAAAATATTTATATATTCAGGATTTGGTTTGCTGATATGGTAACTAATTTACCTACTTTGTGATTAACTTAAATGTACAATATATATAGTCCTCTTGCTAGAGACATCAGACTATTATTCAAAAGTGTTTATTGTAAAGTGAGAGAGCCAGTCTATTTGATACTTGTAACAGGAAGATGTATTTGATCATAGAGTGTGGTGTGTTCTTTATTCGCACTTGGGGGAGCCAGGGGCAGATCGGGGTATTGGATTTATTTCGTCTGCGTTGCAATCTATCGGGACCGGGTGAAATACCATTAGCATAGGGCAGTGGTATTCAACCTAGGGTACGCGTACCCCCGGGGGTACGTGAAATTTAAAAAAAATTATTATTTTATGATAAACACTGAATAATCAGTAATGTAATTTATTTTAGATGTAGATTATATACTATGTATAACTTGAATTATACACCAACAACTTTGGGGGTGCAAAGTTGAAGAGAAATTATATCTGGGGGTACGCGAACAAAAAAGGTTGAATACCATCAGCATAGAGCACAGGGTCATGTCATCTCAGTCAGCGCCATTTTGTGGTTACAGTTTCTAAAATAATCACCCATGCAGGTTTTTGCTCCTACATTTTAGAAAATTTTCTCAAATTCCAGTGAAGGTAAGACCTATTCATTATTCATATCCACTTTGTTAAATGATACATGTTACAAGGTGTTTTCTATTTTTATTTATTTTCATGTTGTCATTTTTGGTGGGACAATCCTAACCTCAAAAAGCATACTAGTGGCAGGGTAGAATGGGGTACCCCGTTTTGCCCCGAGTGAAAGTAGAGAAGAGGATCAAATGACGAGTGTCTGTATTGTGGCGATGTCTATTCGCAGACTATTGAAGGGTGGATCGGGTGTTCGTCTTGCCTGAAATGGGCCCATAACTCATGTGCAGGTGTTGGTAGTCATGATGATGAAGAGGTGCACGTGTGTGCCGTCTGCTTTAGGCCTAAGTAGATTTCAAATGTGTAAAGTTTCGACATTTTAATTTGTGTACTAAATCATTTTTATATCCTACGTCATAATTATTAGATAATCTGCGTCTTCTTACAACTTTTTCAAACATATATCAACCATACTCCGTCTTGCCCCGGAAGAAGCCATGCATACCAACAACATTAAAATAAATAATTTTACAGAAGATTGCAGCCATTCTTGTAGATATGTTACAATGTGTATTTACTAGTTTTGAGAAATGTGTCCAGTTGCGCATGAATGCTGGAGGTGACCACTTTCAGCACTTTATGTGGAATGCAGTTTACAACAACTAAGCTATGTGTACTTACATTTGATAACCATTGATGCATAAATAATTGTTTAATTGCTGAACGTTGGAGCCTCTAGAGAGTTTATCATCTATTTTGATATCAAAATATTTTAAGAATCTGTGACCAAATCCCATCCTGTTTCAGTTCCGAATTCAATAAGCTCTACTTTAAATTTACCTTCCATATAGCTATCTATGCTTTGAAATCAGTATTTTTCCTTAAATTTTCCCCTGAAAGGTTTCAGATGCATTTCTGGTTTCCAAAATTCACGCTGCTATCCCAGGCATTTGAATCTGTCTCAGTTACATAACCTCACAGTGAATTCGTAATAATATATAAAATTATTAATTTTGCTTTTGTGTGTTGCAGTGAAATAACATTTACCATCAATGAGAAGAAGTACACAGGTATGAATTTATAAGAAGGAAGAGTATAATAATAAGAAAAGGTGTGAAAAAATAATTTTCACATCTATCATATTGGTTGTAAGTAAAACTAACTTAAATTATAGACCGTATTAAGCTCTTTACTACAAAAGATAATGTAAATGTGAACGAAGCTAATAGTGGAAAAGTGTCCCTATCATCAGGGTTCTGATGTGACTGGATACCTCGAACGTCGCCTGAGTTGGTTCCCGAAACGTCGGTTTACTACGGTAACCAGTTGACGCGGCTGATTGCCCGAGAGGATTTCACTGATTGTACTCGCCGCGAAAGCCTCAAATCATATATGAAGGTTATATGTTTGACTAAGGTAAAATACATTTTAGTTTCTAAATACATTTTTCCAATTTATTCCAGTTTCTTTTGTGGATAAGAAGATAAGTAGATTCAATTCAATTCAATTAATTTATTTACGTGTTTGCCAACAGCAAGAAGCCAATAACAGGCAAACACTGATAATATATACAATAATAGTGAAATAATAATGGATAATATTACACAAACGGATTAACTAAACTTATACATGTACAGTATTAAATGTAACTGCCAAGTACAGACAAACCCAAAATAGAAACAATATTAACACAAAGCAAAAAATGAAGGAATATAAATAAAAACAAATAATCCACCTAGGGAACACTAATATAATTGTAAAACGTTAAAGAAATATAAAAACAGATAACGAAGCTAGATAATCTACAAGACAATCTATCTAGATCATTTCCCTTGTTGAGAACGTGTCCTCAAGGGAGACAATGTTTATGCTAAATACGTCCAAAGATTTACATACGTCATTTGCAGCGATGACGCACCTGGCTGAAGGACTATGTCTTAGTGCACTGCTCACATTAAAAGTAGACAATTCTCTTATTTGCTTCGCCGGCACACGTAAACCAACAGCGTCCATAATGGAATGGCAATTTATTTTGCCCTTAAAGACATTAACAAGAAATAACGCATCGAGATGTTGTCATCTGGAATAAAGTGTTCTAAAATTTAAAGTAGATAGGATCAATTCATATTTTCGGGGGATATTAAACTGGAAAAATCGGTAATTGCATACTGGCAAATTTTCTTTGAATATTTTCTAATTTATTAGAATCTGTCTGTGGAAGATTATTCCATACGACCGAGGCATAGTCAAGCTTTGACCTAATTAAAGCATTATATAAAACAACAAGGCTGTCTAAAGAGGAAAAATTATAATAAAACGAATAAGCCCTAAGGTCCTTAGTGCCTGGGAATGAACACAATTTACATGACAGTGAAAATATAGTTTACTGTCTAACAAAACACCAAGATCTTTTATACAATTAGTACGCAAGATTAAAAAGTCACTAACAATGTAATTAAAATGGATGCTGTTGGTTTTACGTGTGAACGATATAATTTTGGTTTTCTCTATGTTAAGTTCCATATTGCTATCATTACACCACTCATGTACGGAATCGATATCTGCTTGAAGAGCTCTGCAGTCATGCACAGATTTAATATCGCGATATAGTTTCAAGTCATCAGCAAATAAGAGAAATTTAGAATACTTAATTTTGTCGCAAAGGTCGTTAATAAAAATATTAAATAAGAGAGGTCCCAAGGTAGAGCCTTGTGGAACTCCAGATAACATGAATACATAAATAAATAAATAAATATTATGTTAAAGCCACACATTTAGGATGTTCCATACTTTACTATAAATTTTTACACTTACGTTGTATGCTACTTATTGTAACATTTGTTAGTAGACCCACATGCAATTCATTGTAGTTTTTTGTTTTTTCTGGGAGCATTCAGAATGCAAAGATGCAAGAATATATTTGGAAACTGTGTATTCCAGTATAAATTACAAATCTTGTTTATAAGCGTGCAGAATTAAAACAAAATACATATATACAGACACATAATTGTTAGTCCAGTTCATTTGAAAACAACAGTTAGATTGTTAATTCTGGTAAAATTCTTTTATTTTTGTTAAAAAAAGGGATATTTCTTTTTCGTGTCCAATACGCACCAATCAGCATGGTGTGCATTGGTGGTTAGCAGGATTCACGACCCATCAGTACATGGGTTCGATCGGGACCCCCTTTTTGTGAAATGATGATGAAAGTGGAGTAATTGTTGGGATGCCACGGAGAAACCGGGGAATCCCCGGAGGAAACCTACGTGATGCCTGGACCACGGTCTTGCCCAACACAAGTAGAAAATCTGAGCACCGCCGGGAATCGAACCCGGGACCCCAGTATTACACGCCCAGCGTTCTAACATCTAGACCACCGTAGCGGTGAAGAGATATTCAAGCTTGAAATGTCACAATGAGAAGGCACAGGAACTTCTACACATAAAAGAAAATTGTTAAGTGGCTTACTGTAGATATACAACTAAAGTTATTATGGAAAAAAAAAGGCTGTATTGAAGTTATACAGACTTCTGTGTCTTAAATAGGATGTCCTGCCATCTGATGCATGCCCATATACGAGAATATACAATTTATGCAGTAAATTGTTATATTATTTTGCTTTAGAATGCAGACATAAATTGCTAACTGGAAATCAGCTAGTAAGATTATAGAACTGACACTCAGGTAAGATGGTAGTTCCGTAAATCTTAAGCAAGTGAAAGTTATGTTAAAAAAAATTCTCACAGGGAAAAAACCTCCTCATGAGTTTACCGCAGTAAAAAAAATAAATTGACCACAAAAGCTAAGTGAAAGAGTGGAGAAACAAATATCGCACTAGTAAAATAAATATTTTTTAATGATTTCATTATTTTTATTTCATTCATATTTATATATTTTTTATATTTAATTTTTAGTGCTATATATTTCTTTACAATGTACGCTTAGTATCATTATTATTATATTATCTATGTTTACATGTAAGAATAATAGTAAACACAATAATAATAACTCATTATGTTTCAATTTTTCACTCCAAAAAAATGTCTATAGTGTATCTAAATCTAATATGGGGATATATAATTTTATATGTGGCCCGCGGAGTTATGATGCATTTCCAAAGTGGCCCGAAAGATCATTTGGGTTGGCCCAACCTGATTTAAACAATCTACAAGTTGTATGGTATTATGTAAAATTTAGAATTTAGCCAAAAACATTTAACATTATAAAACTGAGAATGTATTAAAAAGGTATATACAATTAAGACAATGAAAATAAAACCAATGTTAAGAGAAAAATGGGAGTAAATATGATTTTATAATTATATGTGCTACTGGGGTAGTAAAATGTAGTTTTATTTGAAGATTTCTGTCTTCTGGGTTGTTGCGCTGTGTAGTCTGGTAGATGTTTACCAACGTTTCGGAGGTCATACTGCCTCCGTTATCAGGGACCTTCAAAATACTGCTATGAAAAATGGTAAAGTGACAGTCAAGTTTGACAAACACTATTTCCTAAAGTATAAACATCATTTATCTTTGTCACATACCTACTGATTTGAGACTTTCGCAGCGAGTACAATAAATAAAATCTTCTTGGGCAATCAGCTGCGTCAACTAGTTACCGTAGTAAACCGACGTTTCGGGTATCCAGTCACATCAGAACCCTGATGATTTGGACAGAGTTGGTTCCTGAAATGTCGGTTTACTACGGTAACCAGTTGACGAGGCTGATTGCCCGAGAAGATTTTATTGAAAGATATTAAATTTGTGAAATGACACATCATACATTTTAAACCTTCCCATCCCAAACACTTAAAATCACCACTGCATAAATTGTCTCCCCCAGCCTTAGGACTAAAAAAGCATTTCTCATCATGTCTCTTAGTAACACTTATTTGACAGTAAATTAGTTTATTGATGACTTCATAGGTCATATGAGGTGTGGGGCAGCATACTTTTCATATATTAGCAACAATTATTGGGTAATTTTTTAATAATAATATTGCAAAATAATCATTAGTTTTAAAGGGTAAACTTTTTTGATACAGTTTATTAAATAGGGATGAGAGATTCTTAACACAAATGTAAAATGTTTGTGATGCTGGATAGAAATTTTGGAACAATTTTCTTAGTGAAATTGAGTGGAAACATAATTTTAAAATTTGTGATTTAATTTTTTAGTCAGTGGAGATATTCCACCAGGGACGTCTCTCAACACATACATACGAAACCATGCGAATCTGAGAGGCACAAAAGTTATGTGCCATGAGGGTGGCTGTGGGTCTTGCATTGTGGCAGTGAGATCGCAGAATGCTTTCACGAAAGAGAAATCAACATACGCAGTCAACTCGGTGAGTTTACTCTATCTGTAATCTAAACCACAGCTACATTTGATGACTTCGCATTTTGGAAATTTTGCAGCGTTTTATATATTGGCCTTATTATGATACGTTAATTTATTGGGTGAAATTATTGAATACGATAACTTATTAACAGTTGGTAAAAAGTTTGTTCTACAAATGAACAAAGAGGAAATGTTTTTGTTTATGTTTTATTACCAGATTAGGAAAAACGTAAAAGTAATATTGACCCGTGCCATGTCATGTGAAGGTGTATGGGGAATGCAAAGGTAGTTATGCATATTTCGTCCAGTGACAGAGACTGGCTCTATCTAAGGGACCCAACAGGGTAGGTACCTCTCACCTGAAGATGGAGACAGAACCAGCCTCCAAAATGTCATGGTTTTAAAGAACAGACGATGGAAAAAGTCCTGACAATGAATAATTTTAAATGTAAACTACCGTCGTCAAAACCCTTTAGAATCGAATATTTCACAGATGTTCACTAGATAGAGGAGAGTGGCTGGATTTATAGTCTGGATGTTTTATCCCTAGGAAAAGGGAATCTTGTGCTTGGATTGGAGGTTTAAATAAAGTTATGATTTAAGATTAAAGGTAGTTATTAAATAGGTACTGTATGACATTTTTATTGAGTTTGGAATACGATAGAAACTTGTTAGTTTAATTAAAATGTGTGTGGATGGGGTATCTAGTCGAGTAACTCTCCTACACGCTAGCAAGGACATAGGCCGAGAAGTAAATGTAGACAAAACTAAATAAATGGGCGTAATATGAAATCAACACTGGTAAGAGTGACGGAACATAATTAAAAGTAACACATCATTTGAAAATATTTCAAAATTTAAGAGTCTGGGAACAAGAATAACAAATAGAAATAATGTGTATGATGAAATTAAGAGTAGATTACATTAGGGAAACGCTTGTTTTTACTCAATTAAAAAACTTATCATCTTCTTCATCATCTTTATCATCTTCAGTTAAGATCAGGATATACAAAACAATGATTTTGCCTGTTGTCTTGCATAGTTGTGAAGGAAGAAAGTAGATTACAAGTGTTTGAAAAAAAAAGGTGCTCAAGAAGATATATGGACCTAGAAAGGATGAAATGAGTGGGGAATTTAGAATATTACGTGACAAGGAGCTGTGTGAATTGTACGGGTCACCTAGCATAGTGAGGACAGTGAAATCTAGGAGGCTTCTATCAGCTGGACATGTAGCACTCATGTCGGGGAAGGCAAGGGGTGCATACAGAATTTTAGTGGGGAAACCTTCTGGAAAACCACCACTGGGAAAATGTAGAAGGAGACAGGAGGATAATAGCAAGATGGATCTTAGGGAGATGGGCTGTGAGGATGCTAAATGCATGCAGTCAGCTCAGGATTGTGTCTGGTGGCAAGCTTTGGTGTTGTTCATGTTGGCCCTGCAGGTTCTGTTGCCAGGAGTTAGTAGTTGATATTTATTAAATCCTTAGTTTCTGTGGCAAAGTTTAATTTGCTGGAACAAACAGAATGATGTTTATGATGCAGCTGATTAAAACTTTAAAAAAAATCCTGCTATTCCATTAAGAATTTTATATTTGAAAATGGTTGTCTTCTTGGTTGTTGCACTGTGTGGTCTGATAAAGTTTACTGGTGTTTCAGAGGTCCTTGCTGCCTCCATCATCAGGGCAATTATTGCCCTTATGATAGAAGCACAACAACCCAGTTGACAGCTATCTTCAGACTTATTGCCATGAAAACCTCAAATCTTACTTATTCGTCTTCTTCTTCTTCTTCTTCTTCTTCTATGACTCTCCGGTCTGTATTCGGTCCATGGCCTCCTCAATCCTCCTCTTCCATTCCATCCTCTGTTAGGTCCGTCTGTCCGAGGCTTTGATCAAGGTTTCGAAACATCTTCCTTTTTATGGTGCAAGGTTGTTAGCCTTGCGACCAACCCCCAACCTGGAGGACCAGGGTACCTGTCTTAGTCTGACCTCTCCCCCTTGACCAATCTGGCTAGGGAGGCCCTACCAGTAGCCATGCTACCGCCAGCATAGCTCTTGGGATCACCGAGGTACTCAAGCCCCACCACCACGACAAGGTGCAGGTACCATTAAGTGGGGGCTCAAATCCTACTATTTTATATTTATTTATGCCTATCTAAATTTGTAAAAATGAAAACAAGCAAAACAGGTGCTTCATATGGGCATGAAACTGGTATGTCAGTTATAAGGGAAGATATCTCAGGGCAAAGTGTCGAGGAAAGGGCTTTAATCTGGGAGATAACATTTAATAATTTGTGCGTTATTAAGCTAGTATACTCTGCTGTTTAGGCTGTTAGATATAGAAGAATGATATATGAGTGGAGGAACAGAGCTGCGCAAAAAATATTTTGGTTTGTATGCCTCAAGGGAAGAGACCAGGTGAGGGAAGTAGGTGTGGATTGGTGGAAAATACAAAGCTACCACAATAAAAATTTCATCAGTTTACTGCCAAGTCTGATGAGTCTTATAAATAAAAAGGCATAATTTAAAGTAGCATTAAAAAGATACTTACTCTCCTGATTAATTTCTAGCATCACAAGTAAGTCATAGTATTTGTCACAGTTTTTGTCTTTATGTAATGTAAATAGGTAGTACAATTTATCTGCTGTATGTAATGAGTGAATGAATTTGTAACATGTTACTAATTATGTGAACCCTTCATTTAAAATATGTGATATTTTACAAAACTATGAATCATATTTGTGATACGTGTAATAAGTATTATATTATTATGACTTATTTCATACCCTTTTATTATCTGACTAACTTATGGACCCATGAAATGTAATACAAATGTATGTATGTAAGACGAGTGGACATTGACATGAATAATATTTCAGTGCCTGGTGCGTGTGCATGCCTGCCATGGCTGGGCCATCAAAACAATTGAAGGAATTGGTAACAAGAAGACAGGTTACAACATTTTACAGACAAGACTTGCTCAGATGAATGGCACACAGTGTGGCTACTGTTCACCAGGAATGGTGATGAACATGTACAGGTTTGTATACAACACACAACAATATATATTTTCTGAATCTGAGAACCTTGTGTTGAGTGTCATTAGTGGTTTTCTTGGTTGCAACAACATGTATGGTAGTCTTGTATGTGGTTAAGAACATTTTGGAGGAAAGTATTACCTCTATCCTCAGAATTGAAATGAATTTAGTACAAAAATGGGCCTGGAGGTCATTGTACTTTCTATTGTCAATGCTATTATGTTTTATTTTGATTTCTATTGATGATGTTTCTATTAATATTGTTGTTTTTATTGCTATTGACATTCTTTCATCATTGTAATCATCATCATCATCACTGTCATCATTATCATCATCATCACTGCCACCACCACCACTATTATCCTCATCATCATCATTCTTTACTGAAACTTTTCAACAATAACCTCCAATCACATTAATGCAATGACAACTTAATATTATATCAGTGCAACAATGACATAAAACACAAACCTTTGACTTGACTGACTTTTTTTTAAAAAATAGACTAAGGTACAAAAAAGCCTTATGTGTTGGGTTTGTTTATTTTTCTTCATTCCCATTTGTCCCTCATTTGCAGGGTCTGCATTTTTACCCCTCTTGGACGTTTTATGATTGATCTATTTTTTGGACATTGGTAGAACTCATTGCATGAGTGATGAGCCCTATCTGCAAGGCTTCTACCTATACAAACACAGAAAGACGCGGACAAACATCCATGCCTTGAGTGGGACTCGAACCCACGGTCGCAGCGGCCAGGCGCACGAGGTCCATGCCTCAGACCACGTGGCCACTGCGCCAGCATGATGGGTTTATGTTTATGCTTTAAAATATAAATATTTTAAAGTCTAGGTTTGTTACAGACAACAAATTTTGTTACAGTGTGCTTTCAAATAGCTGCCTTGCTGATGTCAGCACCTGTAACACCTTGTTAATGTCTGTGTACTCCAAAGAGTACACCTTTCCAATCTTGTTGTGTGAAGCTCATTTTTCTTCTCAGAGTACAAAGAATTGGTAGTGGCATGCAATTTATCTTGTTTTCTTTAGATGGAAAAAAATAATGAGCTTCATATTGAGTCAAGTGTAGCTAAACACAATGATTCTTAGAAAACAAGTTGGCAACTGTTTTTAATACCTGATTCACTTCTAATGTAGCCTGAAGAATGATAAAGCTGTCAATATGCAAGAATTGGAGAACTCTTTTGGTGGTAACATTTGTCGCTGCACTGGTTATCGTTCTATTCTGGAAGCCTTCAAATCTGTTGCTGTAGATGCCCCACCACAACTAAAGAACAAAGTAGAGGATATTGAGGTTAGTTTGACTTTTATTTCTGTAGAATTATCCTTTTGCAGAGTGGAAATCTGAATATAAAGCAATCCCCTTCATAAGAATGTAAAAAAACACAGTGAGTCATTTCATGAGGTAAAGTTTGTGTGCTCTACTGCCAATAATTGATCTAGCATGTTATGATCTCTCATACAGAGTATGTGTAGTTTTCTGGTTTATATACTGATAGCAGAGTGCAACCACTTCTCTACATCAGAGCACCTCTTCTTATGTAAACTACTGTAAATGTGTAAAATCAATTCCCTTACAGTGAAGATATTTTAGGTTCCAAATTACATGTATTTTATTACCGTAATTTGAATGTCATTATTATAACAAAATTAGAACCTTGCAGTGTTATATGATGCATTAGAAAGTAATACTTATCATGCTGATTAATATATATTGACAAAGGAATCACAAAAGGTGGATACAAGATTAGTAAGTAATAAATACCATATTTTTCAGTGAACATTAGCAGGAAGGCAAACACTTGAATTTAAAGAAAATTGACAGATTATGTAGTGTGTGCGTGCACATATATGTGAGTGATTGATTACGCATGTTCATGAATGTGTATTCAACAACACAGGACAAACGGTTAATCAAAAACTCAGTTTGCAATAGAAAGCTTCAATATAACAGTCATGAATATAATGACAATTAACCCTTTACACACCATGCCTTTACATGTCGTGTCCCACTCAAGAGTCTATTGTGGCGACGTAGTTTGATAGATTACCACTAGATGGCAAATCTGACAACTTTATACATTATTATTATTATTATTATTATTCAGTGTTCTGTCTTACGACAGGTCCATTGCTCTGCCCAAACAGAGCTCTCCAGTTGTCCCTATTCTCGGCTTCTCGCTTTAATTCCTGGAACGTCATCTTCTTTCCTTGTTTAAGGTCGTCGGTTGGCTGTATCAGTCTTCTTCCCAGCCCTCGCTTTCCTTCAACCTGGCCTTCG